GAGTGACGCTCTCTCTCCCTCTCCCACTCGCCTTATTTTCCTTTTCGCCACTGCGGGGACTTTTTCTAATTTGCAGCTTCCCTTTCCCGGCACACACAGACAGGAGCTGGTGCTTGCAGACTGCGTCTGTCTGGAGCTAGAGAGCGAGCGAGCCCAGCACGCGGGGAGAATGCTCCCGCGAGAGGGATTCTGCAGCAGTTCTCAAAGGCTAGATTTGGGTGGTATTGCTGCATATGCGCTGGTAATGGTTTGGGTTTTTTTTTAAATTTTATTTTGTTTTATTTTTAATCCATTTTTCAAAGGATCTGCGCTGTATGCGATCTCTGAGTAAAATGCTTTAAAAATTCATTATTGAGCTAAAGATTCAAGCACTGCATTGTTTTGTACAACAGATTTCAAGTCATAGATTTATTATTTGGATATAAAGAATGCTTACTGGTGAGTTACAGTTTTTGATATTTAGTTAATGAATCTATATATGTATTTTTTTCTTTTGTTTCAGTAGATTCTTCAGCTTGTTGTCTCTAACTGAGGAAGCATTGATTGGGAACTACTCATTCAGAAAATTAAAAGGTACCGCATGTTTTATTTAGATGTTTAGAATAAGGGGGAAAAAAAAAAAAAAGTCAGAGAAGAATTGGAATGTTTTGATTTAAATTACTCTCTCTAAAGTTCTGGTCTTTAATCCTTACAAGCCTAGTTGATCAGTGTCTGAACACGTACCCATTTTCCATGCAGGAATAATGCCCATTATCCGGCTGTTTGATTGAGAAGTAGTGAAGGAATTGTGTCTTTCGCCTGGTCTGCAAGTTAATTAAGCAAATCAGCATGGTCGGCTATTATTTGGATTTCGTATCATTTGGATTAGTTTTAAGACATGCCAAAATTCTCCATCTTCATAAAAATTCATTAATTGAATTTAAGAGAAATATATTAAGTAATGATTTTATCTGAAGAATCCTGCTGATAAGTGATTTTTTAAAAATGGTTACATGAAATGCTTTGCCCTTCCCAGGTAGCATGAGTGTTAAGAGACGAAAGCTCAGAAATGACTCAGGATTGTGGGTTTTGCAAATGAAACATCGTAACTTCCAATCGAGTTTTAGTCTTTAGCAATGGATGTATTTAAAAGCCAAGGTTTTTAAGTTATTAAAACAACCGTTCACATATGCTTTATTCGAGTTATCAACGTAAGAAAGTAACCTTCATCTGCCATGAAAGCACTGAATCCATGTGATTCTTGGGCTTATGCCTTACATGAAAAATATAGATTTTTAAATTCAGTACCAGGATATATATTGATTTCAGAAGATAATAATAGGTATTACTGTTTCTTCCATTCTTAAAATTACTTAACCTTAATATTTATTCATTGTCAATAAAACCTATGTTTTTAATTTGCCTTAAAAAATGGAAGACATTTTCTGCCTTGCTAGGAGAAGATCAATAATACCTTCTAGACCTTTTCCTTGGAATCCGTATAGTATTTCCCTTCAGGATTATCAGCCCAAAATATTTTATCCAATAAGTTAGCTATTTTTTTTAGAATATACTTAAAAATGGCTAATGTTCAACTACTGACCCTGAAATGCATAAGTATATAGTACACCTGTGTGTGTGTGTGTGGTGTGGTGTGGGTTGGTGTGTGGGTTTTGTATTCAATAGCAGTTGAAGAGAACAATGATTGTCCTTGGTGGTTCCCTGCAATGGTAATCATGAAGACCTTAATTTATTCAGTTCCACAAGCATCTTAAGAGCCTTGCGCTGTGGAAATTATGGGAGAAAGCAGGAAAGGGGCAGATGAAACGTCCTCAGCCTCCAGAGGTAGGCAGCATCCATAAGAATTTTTGGAACAAGGGAATGAATTTGTTAAATAAATCAGAGAGTGTTCTAAAAAAAGGAAATTACATTAATTGTCAGATATTGAACAAAATCTAATACATTAGCTCTTAAGACGTACATAAAATTAGATTGCATTTCTTCCTCAAATTACACAATCATGTATAATCCCCAGACAGGACTTACTATTCTTCCTATATGTAAAACCCTTGAGACATTCTCTTTTTAGATTTCACTCAGAGTCAGTGTTTGGTAGGAAAAAAAATCTGGTATTTTCTGCTAACCTAAATCCATATTATGTACCACATGAGATCTATTCCTAATTAATTTCAGCACTCTTATATTAAGTTTGAATTGGGCGGACTGATGAATTGAACAGGATGAAAATGTTATTATACAAGTTTTAATAATGTCTATGGGAACAATAGCCTGTGTTGGCGATTTGTCTATGATATGAGAAGGGGCAATGATCTTAACAAGGGTTGGCATGCACCATCTTTCCTAAACCACTTAAAAATTCATCTGGGGTGTCTGGTAAAGTCGATGATAAAATGCATTTATGATAGATAGGTTTTGGTAGTCAGATCAGAGCAACATATTGGACTCTATGAGAGTCAAGATCTATACATGCTTTTTCAAATCAATATTAGCAGAGTTAATCCTTTACCGATTTTTCACTCATATCTTTAGCGCATATAAAATAGTGCCTGGATCATCAGTTGGAATTCAATAAGTATTATTTATTATTACATAGTGAATTTGGTCATCATTCCTCATACTTTTTTGTCTTGCTTTCAGTGGAGGTAATCACAGTGAACAGACATCGGAATTTATTAGGTTACCAAAAATAGTCATTAATGTCCTAATTAATAATGATAATAAATAAATCCAGGATAATTAATACTGGGTATAAAAGCAGAATAAACCATGTGTAGGAAATCTATAAGGCCCCCTGTATGGAAAAATAATTTTTCTGGTTTAGGTTAATATGGAAAGAATTTTTGAAAATGCCCCTTCACTTTCATCAACTAGGGAAAAGTGCCAAACTGCAGCATGAGCTTTGCTTATGGACGCTTCCTAAATACTACTCCCAGGCTTGACATTGTTTATTGCTCTTCACGTCTTTGGCCAAGATTTTGCTGCAGCAAAGGGGAGGAGGCCTCTTTTTTTCCCTCTCTCTCTCCTATAAATGTAAGACGAGAAATGATGTCATACTTACCAGTGCATAATGAGCAACAAAGCATTGAAAAATAGATATCTTTTCTATATATTTTAAAAAATCTATAAAGAAAGTTCTAGAATCATAATGGCTTTAGAAAATGATATTCTTTCTTGCCATTTACTTTTATTAATAAAAATATACTTTTTGCTGTTAACTGTGTGTCAGATAATATCCTAAGTCTTTCACATAAGTTATCTCATTTAACTCTCCCCACAATCCTGGGAGGTAGGTATGGTTTCCATTTTACAAATGAATGAATTCAGATTCCAACTGGGCAATCAACCCAAGGCCCCAAGGTCCTTCATATTAAGCATGCAATACTGTACTTTTTTCTAGTAGATTTTTTGGCATATGGTCATTGTCTTAATGTCTTATTTATGCACATGATATATATGTTACTGCAATAAGGTTAAAACAGTATACTTGTAGATTCTTGATATTATATCTATATATGATATAAGTGATTATATCTTCAAATACCTATAATACCTAGGTCTTACCTATAATATTCAAACTCTGGTGTATTTCCTATTTTACATACATTTTATATTTAACCTGAGGCACTTTATTTTTCAAAGATGAATGTCAGAGATAAACTAGAAAATTTTAAAATAAATGAACTCATAAAGCATCTTTTATGTCATTATAGTGAAGTTATATGTTGAATTGCATAATCTGTATAAGAAAATTAGCCAAAGAATTCAAATGCTAAATAGCAACACTAATGTCATATTTTACAAGGATCTTTTAATTGAAATAATGGCAGGAAAAAGTTCATATGTCCAAAATAAACAAACAAGCAGGGAACAGTCTTATGAATAGTGTGAAAACACCACATTCAACTTCAAGGATGGCTAACTCAGAAAAATCGGTACTAATAATTACACAAATATGTATTAAAATCCTCTACTTACAAAGGAGTATGTACAACAGAACACTTCTGGAGTTTAGTTGGGGGTAGCAGAATAAAACAGGGAAATAGTACCAAGGCTCATTGGTATCATAAGAGGAACATGAAAAAATTTTTAAGAGACTTCATCACAGGGTGAGATTACTAATAATTGAGATGGGACTCAACAGGAAGTATTTCATGGAGGATGAGTGCTTTAGGGTGGAACTTAAAGATGAATAGAAGTATTCAAGGGGGAGATAATGCATGGAGGAGATCCAGGAAGAACAAACATTTGCAAAGAAATCAAAGGAAGTGAAAATGCTTGGAAAGCATAGACTGACCTCATTTATATTCTAGAGTGTAGGACAGAAAAAGAGAACTCTTAGAACATAAAGTGGAAAGATATGTGAATACTCTTAGGTTGTACCATATGGAATAGCTAATATTCACCCTTTTTGAATTATAAAATAAAAACTTTTATTCAGTTCAACTTAATACATTGGAAAAGGACTTTAAAGGCCAAGTTGAGTCATTTTCATTATTCAGGGAATAGCTATTGACTTTTTTTTTTTTAACAGGAGGCTACTATAATCAAACTGTGTTTTCAGATGACTTATTTTATATTCTGTTTGAGATAAATTAGAATTGTAAGATGTTGTAGAAAGCATCGCTTCAGAAGCTATCATAGAATAATCCAGGGAGGGGAAAAAACCCAAAGAGTGTGTTGACTGTGGGTATGTAGTGGGCAAAAAGTAGTCATGAAAATGAGAGATGTTTCTGAGCTCAAATTCATATGTAGAATGTAGCGACTACTTGATTGGTAGGAGGAATGAAAAGGAAGGAAGACTCAAAGGTGACTTGAAAGTTTGAATTTGATTACTGGAAAAGTTACAGGGAGAGAGGTGCTGAGAGCTACACAAGAAAAGAGGTCTTCTTTTATTTTTATTGTATCTCTAGTCTCTAGCAGACTGCCTAGTACATAGTAGACAGCCAATAAATGCTAAATGAATGAGTGAGAACGTGAATAAAAAATCAAGAGGTATGTTTAGGACATGAGGCTGGATATGTGGGTGGATTGGGCTTGTAGATTGCAGAACATGCAGATCCAAAGCTGAGAAGGGAAGTTAGAGAGGGAGGGCGTGGGTGACATTAGCAAGAAAGATGATGAGAAGAGGACCAGAGAGAATCTCTTGGCAGCACCCCCATTTGAGATGTAGAATGTGGGACAGGAATTGAAGAAGTTGAAGAAAAAAAAAAAAAAA